ACACACACACACACATACTATATATATATATATAATAATATATATATATATACAGACACACACGACACATACACACACACACACACACACACACACATATATATATATATATATATATTTGTATGGATATATATAGACATATATATATATATTCCGGGTATATTATTATGATCACGCTTATCTGAGTACATCGTTGCCCGTATATGACAATCAACGCACGTGTTCTGCTGTCATTGATGTACCGCTTGTGGTTTATTTTCAACTGCGTGTTCGATGCAGCGTGGCCTCTTCTACTATAGCATATACAAATGCTGTAGTTTACAGGTATTTATCTTCAAACCATCGCGTTACACACGGATAGATCCATTGCGATCTAACCAACGATACGCTAATAACCACAGTTTGACAGCTATGAACACGCATATACCTGTGCACTATTGTGCTTGCCTTTTATTGCTCTACCTGCACTGGCAACACTTAACGTTTATTCAATGCTCGTACAGCTACCGCGCAAAGTTTATCCGGGGGTCCGCAGCGAAGCTTTTAGCAGACCACGAAACGCATTCTCAGGCACAAGACTGGCTGCTCTCTCTGCGACAACAAGAATACGATTACGTTCATACGGCCCTACAACAACTCCCTGGGGTGGGACCAAAAGGTGTGGTTTATGAGTGCATGCTACGTATAGTAAAATCGTACTCAGTTGGTATTGCGCTGGTCTTTGTCCTTGACACTGTATACATAGTCTTGTTGCAGACCTCTCTCATGCCTTTGTTGTTTGTCTGAGTGGTGTTTCTGTCTCACAAATTGTCTACAAGTCTACAAAGGGCTTTGTACCACGCGCGCGTATGGATATATGCAGAGGTCTGTGTTTGTTCTGGTTCGTCATACTTGTATATATGGGTTTATGGATATATGCAGATGTGTCTGTTCCTTCTGGTCCTTCATACTTATATATATGGGTTTATGGATGTATGCGGAGGTGACTGTTTCTTTTGGTTCTTCTTACTTGTATATATGGGTTTATGGATGTATGCAGAGGTCTGTGTATATTCTGGTTCTTTATACTTGTATATATGGGTTTATGGATGTATGCAGAAGTGTCTGTTGCTTCTGGTTCTTTATGCTTGTATATATGGGTTTATGGATGTATGCAGAGGTGACTGTTTCTTCTGGTTCTTCTTACTTGTATATATGGGTTTATAGATGTATGCAGAGGTCTGTGTTTATTCTGGTTCTTTATACTTGTATATATGGGTTTATGGATGTATGCAGAGGTGTCTGTTGCTTCTGCTTCTTTATACTTGTATATACGGGATTATGGATGTATGCAGAGGTGTCTGTTTCTTCTGGTTCTTTATACGTGTATATATGGGTTTATGGATGTATGCAGAGGTCTGTGTTTCTTCTGGTCCTTGGGTTTCTTCAAATATAAAGCTGGGTTTATTAAATCTGTTTTCCCACTTGATTTTCTAAAATATAAAAAAGGACAGAACTGTAATACGATCACTTAGAACGCTATAGTGTACTTTGTCTGTCATAAAAAAGACATGTGCTCACATGAAGTATATCCCACACAAGATGACACTGACACATACTTCCTTGCCAGTTGCTGACTGTGTTTGTCTCATGTCCATGGACAAAAGTGGGGCCATTCCGGTAGACACGCATGTGTGGTCTATAGCCCAGCCGTACTTACCTCAACTGAAAGGCACTAGGCTCAACAAAACGTCTTACAAAGCAATTGGCGACTTCTACAGACAGCTACACGGTAGGTGATAAGCAAAAAAAAAAGTACGTTTTTTAAACAAATGAACGTTTTTATATACAGATGTACGTTTGTATATACAAATGAACGTGTTTATAAACCGATGCACGTTTTTATAAACAAATGTACGTTTTTTGGAACAAATGAGCGTTATTATATACAGATGTACGTTTATATAGACAAATTTACGTTTTTCTAAACAGATGCACGTTTTTATAAACAAATGTACGTTTCTATAAACAAATGTACGTTTATATGAACAGAAATACGTTTCTATGTCTATAGACTTCTCATTTGCGACCTTAGGAGTTTGATGTCTTCAACGTCGTATGAATGTATACGTACACGTGATTCTTCTGTTGCCACTCCGCGAAGTGTCGGCGGTGTAGTGTGCCTGTGCACGGGGACTCTTTTGTCTTGTTCATATGTTATACTAAATTGTATCGAGATGTTATCATTTCTTATGTAGTAGTCGGAGTATCTGCATACGAATATGAATACGTATACGTTCATATCTTTGCCGGAAAGGGTAGAGAAGGGTTTTGGCTTTAAAACTTAGGGTTTAGGGTTTAGGGGGTTAAATACCACATCTACTGCACACCGACCGCGAGCTTTTAGGGTTTTATGGGACTCCTCCTCAAGTATAATTTAGGACGAATGCATATCACTGTCCAAAGGGCACTGCCTGGCTGTGATAAATATAACTCACTTTGTTCTTGCGTGAAAAATATATACTCACTGCTTTTTGCACGTGCATGTGTGGGATACGGTGCCCGTGTATGTTTGTTCCGAACTGTGTACGTAGAAAAAAAAACGTTTATTGTATATATTCTACTTTGTGGTGTGTATTTATTAAGGACGAGTTGTCGAGGTGTTGCTGTAAGTGCACACGACGTACTATAGGGTGCTTTGAACTGCAATGCTTCCGTCTGGTGGGT